AAAAAAAGTTTTGAAAAGAAAAAAAAGATGTCCAGCTCTCCTCAAGAAAGAAGGGCAATGTCCAGGGTCTCGGGGAAGGAAGGATGCAGTAACAGAGGCCCTGTTGCCCCAACCCTCCCATGTTGGAACCTGACGTTGCCAGGAGTTCACCCAGGACCTGCTGGCTTCCTGGGAGCTCCACTTCATCCCAGAATATCCAGGGTCTCCTTTATCTCTGGGCCTTTGCATGTGCTTGGAGGTCACCTCTGCTGACAAGCCATCTTGATACTCCCAGGAGGCTCTGCCTCTGAGCCTGCACCCTTTCTGTCCCCGACAAAACTGTGAACCCCTGCCAGTGGGCTGGGCCAGCATCTCCGTCTGCGGCCATGGTGCCTCCGAGAGTGTGTGCAGGGTGAATGTGTCACCCAGGCAGGCTGGCCGTGAGCTTCGTGCCACTGTGCCACTGCAGGCCCCCTTTCTCTTTCCTGCCCCCAGAGACCCACACCACCCCCCACCTTTACTTGAGCTTCCAGTCCCCTGTTCCCCCGCCACAGCCTGGGCCCAGCACTGACCTGCTCCCTGACTTTCCCGTGGAGCACCGGCTGTGGCAGGGCCATCTCCAGCCTGTGCAGGAGCCATGCTATCAACCTGCCATGGAAAGGGTGGGTTGTGGCCAGGTGGGAAGGCTCAAGGGGAAATGGAGGCCAGAATCAGCTCCCCCCAAGTCCCCAGATGGACAGCAAGATCGGCAAGGGTCAGAGCCTGCCCAAAGCTTCTACCCTTGTCTCTGCTCCCCATTGTCCCTAGGTGAGCCCAGCTAGAACTCAGGTGCCAGCAGGCAGCCCCACAACCCCACTCTGCGCCTCATCCCTAGGACGCATTTCCAGGCTGTCAGGACCAACACAATCCCTTGTCAACACCCATCCTCATTTTATATTTGTAACCTCCGGCCCAGTGATTCCATGTCCACCCATTTACTTGTATGTGATGTGCTTTATGTGCATGCAGTGGAGACTCACGCAGCCACTGAAGGAGGGCCACCTGTGAGAGACCAGCTCTGAGGGAGGTCTTTAGGTGAGGAAGGCAGGGCAAGGGCAAGCGTGGGCGACTTGCTCCTGGTAGCCGTGTGCTGTGAGGAGCAGCAGCCCTGAGGCTGGAGTGTGGGCTGAGGGAGCCCTGGGAAGGGCGGGAGCTGCTGGTGTGGGTGATGTGGGGAGGGCCCTGGACAGCCTGGGGATTTTGCTCCAGGTGTGTGTGTGTTAATTTTATCATCTGGAAAACTACTTTTGTGAAGGTCAGGTGTTGGCCTGGGCCCAGGCACCATCCTGCTGCTCACAGGAGGTGCATCCTTTGTGGGCTCACCTGGCAGGGTCCCCAGGGGGTGGCAAGGAGGAGGCCTGCAAGCTGGGCAGGGGCTCTGCAGCCGGCTCCACCTCAGCCTCCAAGGACCCAGGACTGGGCAGGGAGGGGCTCTCGGTGGGCTCCGTCTCCGGGTCGGGTTCCGGAGGCTCTAAACAGCAGGGAGAACAGGAGCTAAAGACCATGGACAGGGCTCCTTTAGGCCCCTCCAGGACATAGGGAAGAACTAACAGGACTGGGTGGGGAGCCCCTTGGGACCACCCCCAAAGAGCTGTAGCATCAAGCAGACCTGGAAGGGGAAGAAACTGGGCAAAGACCTCATGAATGTGCCCCAGGACTTGTTTCCCAACTTGAGCCAGAGAGGAGGTTCTAGAGCCCCCCACACAACAGCCCACTCCTGGCAAGCCCAAAATCCCTCTCTCACCTGGGAGAGGGTCAAGGCCCTCCCCCAATCCTCCAGGCCTGCTTCCTCCCAGCCCAGACTGTGACATCCCTGCTGCCCCCTCCCAGCTCACTTCCTGTACCTGGGTCCAAGACAGCATCTGCAGGTTCAGTTCTGCAACCCTGGACACAAAGCAGGGAGCAAAGTTACGCATCTTAGATCATAGCTCAAAGCAAGCCCTGTGCACACCACAGCCTGGCTGAGACCAGCGTAGGGGCTCCGGGTTGCCCCTGAATCACCCAGCACCAGGCACTCACTCTCCAAGAAGGCTCCAAAGAGATCTGTGTATGGTGGGGTCCTGAGAGCAGTGACAGCCTGCTGGAGTAGGGGACGCCCCCCTGGGAAGCCCCTCCCAAATGCTCAGTTGCCCACCCCTCCTGCTCCTCACTCACCTCAGAGAGCTTGGGGGACTGAGGCAGCACTTTCTCCAGATTCTGCTCCAGCCACCTGAGCAGCCACGGGCCAGGCCTGTGGAGGGTCCATGGGCATCCTGAAGGGAGCAGCCAGGCATACCATTCCCACTGCCCACTGGGGGCCTGGCCCTGGCCAGTCCTTCCTTGCCTTGGGCTCCTGTTCTACAGTAGGGCTTTGTGTTCAGTGCTCCCAAAGGGCCCCCAGGAGGCAGGGAACTCCTGCCAAGCTGAAATTCGGACCCACAGCTGGACCAGGCTCTGGAGCACCTGGTCCAGCTTCAGTTTCCTGAGGTAGCAGGTGAGGAGTGGGAGCGGTCTGGGGATCTGAATGTGGCACAGGAAGCTCCCTGTGGCAGGGACAAATGAAGCTGGCCTCTGAGATATATGGCCTGTACAACTACACACAAGGCCCCGGACTTACAAACACCCATTCTGCGTTTAATGCATGTTGTGTCTTGTATCTAGATGTCCCCACCCCAAAGTCCCACGAAGCCATAAGTGGGGAGTTTTGAAGGTGGCTGGATTAGGGTGTGGGAATGTAAATTAAGGGTGACACTGAGATTAAGGGAGTGGATAATGGAAGCCCCACCTGGGTGTGGTTGGCATCAGTCACTAGCCTTGTAGCCTGGATGGAATATAAAGGTACAAAAAGAAGGCAGGCTTGCTGCTGCTGCTGCTGCTGCTGCTGCTGCTGCTGCTGCTGCTGCTGCTGCTGCTGCTGCTGCTGCCGCCTGCTGCCTTCTGCTTGACACACTATGGACTATTTCTCCTCTGTGATGTCCCTTTGCCATATGCCACCCTACCTTGGATCCAGCTAACTACTGACTGAAACCTCTACAAACTGTGAGCTGAAATAAACCTTTCCTTCTTTAACTCTAGGTGTTGGACCTTTTTGTCTTAGCAACAAAAATTATAAATAAAACAATGCACTATTACTGCTATAGTCTGAAAATGAACATTATTTAAAAGGAGTCCAGCATTTACATCTTGCACTGGATGTCACCAATTACATGCATCCAGGGGCAAATGTTGGGCCCAGATGTAGCTGGTTCTCCTGAAAGTTCCAGCCTCTTCGAGGAGCTGAACATTCCCTGGCCAACCATTTCCCCTAGGGGTGGCCCAAAAGAAAGCTGGTAAGTCTTCCTGATACTCTCATCCTAAAAGGCCTCAGTAGTCCCAGGAGTTGGCCGAGCAGCCTGCAGAAGGAAGCAGAGTACCCAAAGAAGCAGGACTGGCACAAGGCATACATGGAGGCAGCGTGGGGCTATCTGCATTCATCCATTCATGTGTCACATGTATGCAGAGTCCCCGCTCTGTGGCAAGACAAAACTCCTCATCCTCAGTGGATTAGCAGTCTAATGAATAAATGAGGGAGGGAATGAACGGGTGGGTAACTGGAGGTGAGTTCTTCAAGCCTACTTCAGGGACTCAGTGTCCTGGAAACTCCTGAAACAGGCAGTTGGAACTAAACAGGGCCCCACACAGCAGGACATGGGCTCCTGCATTCACCAACCAGGATGAGGCAGCCACACTCCATCAGCTCTGAGGAGTCAGATGCTGTTGAGGGCTGTGAGGCTGACACAGCTGAGCGCCTCAGTGTCCCCGTGTCAGCCCAGTCTCTGCTTCTGGCCTCCACAGAAACCTCACCCCCACAAAACCCAGGTGTGAGGAGCTCGTCCACACCACTTGTGTCTTCTCAGAAGGTGGCCCCCAAATGGGTCTCCAGTTAGGGTCACCAGCAGGGTGAGGAGGGTCACTACAAGCCTCACGCAGCACATGGACATCATTCCCGGAAGAGGGACAAGGCAAGTGTAAAGTCACACACAGAGGTGGCAACAGACTCTGTTCCTGAACCTAGAAGCTCGGCTGTGGGGACACTACTCAGCCCATACCCACAGGTGACAGTGACACTTAAGAACAGGGACTCACCCGGCATCTTGGGTGCTGGGAATCCCACTGGGTCCATCTGCAGTCCCTGCAGGGTCAAAAGATAAAGAAAGGCAGGGAGGGAGAGATGGGGAGAAGTTGATCAATGGGTGCTGAGCTGCAGCTGGACAGAGGCAAGTTGTGGTGCTCCCTGAACACAGGGTGACCGCTGCCAGCCACAGGGTCCTGGCTGGATCACACACCTGTGCATCCCTATAATCTCAGCGGCCAGCAAGGCTGAGGTAGGAGGATGGCAAGTTTCAGCCTAGTGAGGACCATTTAGTAAGACCCTGTCTCAAAATAAAATTTTTTTAAAAGGCTGGGGATGTAGTTCAGTGTGAATGGTCTGCATTCAGTCCCCAGTAATATAAGATGGCTTTTTGGTTTGGGTTTTTTTGGTGGTACCAGGGATCAAACTCAGGACCTTGTGCTTGCCAGGCAAGCATTTATTCCACTGAGCTATCTCCCTGGCCCTAATATAAGATGTTTCATTGTTGTTGTTGGTGGTGGTGCTGCTGCTGTTTTGAAACAGGGTCTCACTATGTAGCCCAGGCTGGCCTCAAGCTTGTAGCCCTCCTCCTGCCTCATCCTCCTGAGTGCGGGGCCTACAGGTGTGCACCACCATGCCTGATGTACAAAACTTTTTTTTTAAGCTAAAAAAAAGGCTTTTGAATTGTTTAAGTGAGAAAAAATTTATAGACCTATTACAAAAATGTACACATATAACAAAATATCACATGGTACCCCATTAACATGTAGTTTTTGTGTTTTATATATCAGTTAAAAAACAAATTCTATTAAAAATAAATTAATAAATTTCAAATAAAAGCATAAAATCAATGTGAAAAAGAACATAGAGAAAGATGGTCAAGTGCAAGAGACCTTTTTGGAACCTTCCCAGAGCCCAGGACCAGAGAGCCATTCCAACCCAGATCCAAGCTCAACCCAGAGAAGCTCTGGTCAGTGTGGACTCTCCTGAGGGGCAGAGCCCATCCCAACTGCCCCCTGGCTCCACCCTGAAAAGTCACCTGCCTCCTGGCCTTACCTGTGTCCCCTGTGCTGCAGGGCCCAAAGACCTGTGCTCCATCCTACTGGGACAGACAGACAGACATGGCAAGGAGCCCGGCGGCAGCCTCCCATCCGCCCCTCTCCAGCCAGCCCCTCCGTGGCCTCCAGCCCCTGTAGTACCTGAGCTGCAGGTCTTATGTCAGCAGCAGCATCCTGGCCTGGCCTATCACTGTACACAGGCTGCGGTATGATCCTCTGGACGCCCTTCCGGAGCCATGTCAGCACCCCGTTACTGGAGCTGCCAGGACACAGAGAGGGACAATCACCTTCCCTCAGGCCCCAGCCTGCCCAGCCTGCATGGCAGCCCACCATATCCCGAAGGACACGGCTTGAATTCCACATCACTGTATTCCACACTGGGAGACTTCACACAGGTCACCTCCCTCTTGAGCCTCATGTACCTCCCTGGCAAATGGAGGAACCAGTGCCTGCCCTCGTGAGGACAGGTATTCCCACCCACCAGCAACTCAGTACAGCGCAGCCAGCCTCCCATGTCCCCATCCTGTCACCTTGGCTCCAAGCCCCAACCTGCAATCACACATTCAAAGCTCCAGAGGGTCTGTGGTTTGTTCCTCTGAGGTGCTTGCCTACACGTGAGGGGTCAGACTCCCCATCTGAGGCCAGTGTCAGCCTCAGCCCCACATGTGCTTAGTTGGAGGAGCACCATGGGCTATAAGATCTGAGCCAATGAGAAGATTCTAGGCACAAGTGCAATTTCTAGATTTGCTGGGAAAATCATGCCCTGAAATCAGCCCTGCACAAAGACAGCCCTGGGCTGCCGAGAAGGGGCTCTCATTACCGCAGCCCCAGCCTCCATTTCTCTAGGTCAGGATGTCTACTCGGTCCAGAGACCCCCGTGCTCCCCAAAGCTCCCAGCCACCTCCCAGAATGTTGCAGGGCCTCTGCTCACACAAATGCATCCCTGAACGAAGTGCCTCCCTCCCCACTCCATAGTGGCTCACTGGCTCAGAAGGAAGTGGGGCTTCCAGGCCAGGGGGGTATGGTGCTGCGGTTACCTGTTCACAACGGGAACCACTGTGGCCTGGGCCTGGAGGGCTGTGGATAGAAGAGGGGCAGCCTCCTGGGTCTCTGGAAAAGAGGGTCCCAGACTTTAGACATAGGCTCTCAGAGAGGCCCATTTCTATCCCACTGGGGAGATCATCAAATGCAGGAGAGCAACTGAAAGGTTCTAAAAGGCAGGGTTCCAGCTCAGCTGAGCTGAAAAGTCTCCAGGAGCCCAACCTGAGCTCCTCTGGGCCTCAGTTTCCTCATCTGTGAAATGGGCGCCCACAAAGCTCTACCAGGGCTTTCAGCACTCACCCTGAAGGCCAGGGTCAGTCGCAGCCTCTTGCTCTCCATGAGCTGGCTCTTCAGATGGCTGCAAGGTTTGAACAAGACCATATAAACTGTAGGTTCTGCAGGGGCAGCCCCTGATTCACTCCTGGGGCCCCACAGGCACCAGAGGGCTAAAAGGCTCATTCTCTGCCATCTCTGTAAGTCCTGGGGGCTCACTTTCCCCTGGGCACTCCCTTCCTTCCAGCCCCAGGAGTCCCTCACCCAGAGCCAGACCTTCACTCCCTTCTCCCAGCCTCCCAGGCTTGTTGTATCCCCCAGGATGCTGGGCAGTGGCCTGAGAAGGGGAGGAACAGTTAGTTATGAAGGCCTGTGACAAGCTCTGGAAAGTGGAAGGGGAGCTCCTCTCGGTCTCAGTTTCCTCATCTGTGAAATGGGCACCCACAAAGCTCTACCTTTGTGGAGCCCATTCCCTTACCTTGCCAGGACCAACCCTCCCACCAGCACAAACTTCCCATTCTGCTCTAGCAGTCAGAGCTCTACCTCCACCCTCTGCCTCTGCCCTGCCTCCACAGCCACACCTCTGCTGCTGCATGTACCTGTGCATGTAGAAACACGCATGTGCACACGAATATGCGCACATGATTCCAAATGGATCTATGTATGTGCACAAGGTAAGTATGTAGGGCTGGCCAAATAGCTCAGCAGTTTACAGCACCTGCAAGCAGGCGCAGGGGCTGGGGGTTCGATCCTCGGGCCTCCCAGGCCAGCCCCGCCTCTGGGGCATGCTGAGAAGGCAACTGAGACTGCGCATGATGGCACACGCTTGTAATCCCAGCTCTTGGGAGGTTGTAAACAAGTGGATCACTACGAGTCCAATCTAGTAGTGAGGCCCTGAACACCCTGTAGACCCTTCCCTAAAATATAAAAAAAAAAAAAAACAACACAAAAAAACAATGTAAGCATGTACATAGCTACACAGGCACATATACCAGATATAAGCAAGGGCATATGCACACACATGCGAGCACATATACAGATGCACATATGCTACAATTTACACATAACAGATATGCAGATTCATATAGGTACAGACCTGCCAATGCAGACATACAGATATGTGCACTCACATAGGTGCATTTGCATGTCTTTCTCTCTAATATATACACATAAACATGTATGTAGTCAGTGTACCCAGCCATATAAACAGGTATATGTACATATACATACTTGCAGGCACACGAATATGTGCACATATGTGAACATATATAAATGTGTGCATCTCCATATATGAGCACACATACAAAATGGATTTTACAGAGACATATGAATATGCATGTATACACATATGAACACAAACATGTACATACACATAAAACACATGAATATATTCACATACTCAGAAATTTGCATAAACACACAGTAATGTGTCACATATAAATATGGAACCACAGATACACTGATACATGTGAAAAGGCACATAAACATATATGTATATAAGATACACATAAATGCTGCCTCGCTAGCTGACATGCCCGTATGTGCACACAGATATAATACCAAGGACATGCTGAAGACATACATGTACACACATGTGTACACACAGACCACCTCTGCCCATTCCCTAAACATGCCCTGCACTACCCTAGAGACAGCCTTTCCTCCCTCCTCAGGGAGAGTTCTGCCCAGCCCTTTGCACCAGGAAGCACCTCCCGCCTGCTTCCGCCCAGCGTGATGGCTCCCCTCAGAGCCCCTACCACACTCACTGGCCCTTTCAGGAGGGAGAGTGGAGGCCCAGTGGGGCTCATCATCCCCCCGCCCCCGGCCTCCTGGAGAACCGGCTGGCTGGCCGGCCAGCTGCAGGCCCAGGGCCAAGGCCTTCTTCATCATTATGCCTTCAGCACTGTGCCCGGCATCATTGGGAGCTAAGTCAAACCTGTTCACCTGAGCTGCTAAAGGAGTTGTCTTCTGGCTCAAGATTGGATGTGGAACAATGAGTTTTGGTATGTTTGCGGGAAAGTCCTAGAAAAATGCCCTCAGGTGTGGTACGAGTGCCATGCCCATCTGCAAGCTGTTACTGGTCCCTGGTGATGAAACAGTTCCCACCACAATGTACATTAACTCCCTGCTTCCTTCACTGAAGGAAATGTCACCACAGAACAAATAACAACTGAACCCATAGGGTACCCAGCTAGACTGTAGATTTACATAGTAAATTTTATTCCAAGCACGTTCCTAATCTCATGTGGACAGAAGATAAACAGTTCATGCACTGGGTCCTTTGATTGGCTCTGCTCTGGACTCTAGAGGTCAGTGGCCATACCCAGCCTGCTTTTTGTAAATAAGATTTTCTTGGAACACAGTTATGCTCATTTGTTTATGCATTTTCTTTCATTGTTTCCACACTATGATGGCAGAGCTGGGTGGCAGAGAAGGCATGACCCACAAGGCCTACAATAATAAGGTCTACAATTTATCAGCCTTTCACAGCAACTGTCGTGAGCCAGCCGTGTCCTCTCGCTGGCCTGAGCATCTCCATTTGTATGAATGCTGGTCTAGCCAACTTCCACCATTGACTCTAACTTTCTTTCTCTGTTGTAGGCCTGCAGGGAGCAGCCCAAGCTCTAAGTCCTCAAGCAGCAGAGCAGCCTCCTCCCCTCCTGGATACCCCAGCCGCTGCTCCTCACCAGGGAGCCGCCCTCTGGCTCCACCTCTTCAGGGGTTGCTTCAGGCTCAGGCTCTGGCTCTGGCTCTGGCTCTGGCTCTGGCTCCAGCACCAGCTCTGGCTCTGCCTCCTCTTCTTCCTGCATCTTGGTCTTCTGAGGGGTGCCCGGGGGCTGAGGCAGCACCTTGTGGACCCAGCCCAACATCCTCACACCTGTATGAACAGAGCCCTTAGATGCCAATACATATGGGCCACGTTTGTGGGTCACACATCTCTTTTTTCTGTTCATTGTCTTTAAGCAAGTATTTCTGCAATTGTATGTCCAGGTACTTACCTTACAGAATTACTCAAGTCTGTCTGTCTGTCTCTCTTTCCTGTTCAGTAAATTGTAATGTACCCAATAATGGAATCTACAGACCCACTGAAAAGGAAGAAGCAGTTAGGGAGATAGTTTGGCAGTCTTAGTGCCTGTCTGGCAAGTGCAAGGACCCGGGTTCGATCCCCAGTGCCACATGCCATGCTGGCCCTGTGCCAAGCCAGCCACAGAGACTGGGCATGGTGGCGCACATGCCCAGTACTAGGGAGGCCGAGACAGGATGATCACTATGAGTTGGAGCTGTATAGTGAGATCCTGTATCTAATAAAAATTTTAAAAATGAATAAATTTTTAAAAAAGATTTTCTTTAAAAAAAAAAAAAGGAAGAAGCAAATCTGTTAGAACTAACATGAAAAGATGTCCATGTCCTGGCCTTATGTCATGTACGCATCAATTTGTCAGATTCTCTGCCTCAGTTTTGCTTGTCTGTAAAATGGGGATACTGATAGCACCTCTCCCATGGGCAGATTATGAAGATAAACTGAACCAATAAGGAAAATATAGAATAGCAACTGGCACATGCTGACAGCTTCATAAAAGTTGGCCAGAACTACTATGGGGTATCAAGTGAAAACATTATATACTACATATTCTCATAATAAATTAAAAATATATATTATGAATAACATATAAATGGGAAAAATTTGTTGCTTAAAGTAACATTAACTATGTTCATGATTTTTTAATTTTTAAAATGTGGTTTACAGTGACATTTTAGTCCTACCTTATACATGCATGTTTGTGTCTGGCTTTTGCATCTTCAGCAAATAGGGAGCACCAGACCATGTCCCCGCATCTGTGCAGGCTGGCCTGGCCCAGCTAGCACCATGCAGGTCAGTGTGTGCACACTGCCACTGCTGGGTGTCCCCTCCCAAGCCATGACAGCAGTGGGCCTGTCCAAGCACCATGGCCACAGGTGGGAATGTGCAGGCCTGGGGCCTAGCTCCCCGGAGTCCCTGGCCACACTGCCTGCTTCTCTGGCCTCTGCAGTCCATCTTCTCCTAGGAGAGTCCACAGCTCTTCAGTACTGAGCGGAAGACAGCAGTCTCCAAAAGGTGACCGTGGGCCAGACAGGAGACCTCTGGTCTTCTACTTCCCGCCATGATTTGGAAGGCTGCTATGTTCCCCACTGTACCCCCAATGCCCCACCATGATTTTGGAGAACCCAAGGTCCCATGTTTGGGTTGGCAGAGGCCATGGACCTCAGCCAGCCACGGAGACCTCTGAGAGCAAATCAGAGCTAAACCCTTTCTTGGTGCTGGATCGTAACCACCCTTATCATCATACCACACCGCTGGCCCCACAAAGGTAGATAAGGATTTCCATCCCAGAACATGTTCAGCGCAACAGAACTGCCCCAGGTGGCAGGGACAGACAGTGGCTAAGCTGACTTTGCTTTCAGGTCTGCCCAATTCCGGCTGTCTCACACCTGCCCCAAGGGTACTGATGTTTGCCCAGTATTGGCCTCTTCTTCATGCCTGACCTGTAGGTTCAGTCCTGGCTGGCAGCAATCCTGGCTTGCACTTCCGAACCTTCTAGAAATGATTAGGAGGCTGCCTCCAAGCACAATTGTTCTTATTCCCCTAAACACAACCAGTCTTCAAGGATGGGAACTTTGGTGACTCCTCCCACCCCCACCTTGTCACTACACCCCAAATGATTCTCCTTTGATGAGGAAGGCTGAGGCCAGAAGAGTTCTGGGGGTGGTAGCCCAGGGACCAATGGTATTAGACTACCAGCACTTTCAGAATCTCCTAGGGACCAGGAGAAAATGCAGAACCTATGTTTCCATGACTCTTCTGAGGGTCCTGGAATCTGCATTACACAAGCTGCCTCAAAGATTCTACTGCATGCTGAAGTTAGAGCCCCACAGAAAAGAGGAAGGCCACAGGTGTCCTGCCTTCTCTATTTTGTCACACCCTTGCTAGGAGCTGAGCATGGGGGTCCCCAAGTTACCTGTTCAGATACCAACCGCCAACCAGGAACTGCCTTCTCACTGTCACTTGCAGCTGGCCTCTGGGACACACAGGGATTAATTAGCAACAGCCAGGCTGTGCAAAGGATTATCGGGTAGTGAAGGGGGGCAGAAGAGGCCATTGATGCTTGAAGTGCCAGCAACAACCCCTAAGAAGCGGCCAGCAAAGACCTGTGCCCAGATTTGGTAGCTAGGGATGCTGCCCAGGTCCCAAGGCCTGGCTCCCCATGTTCCTTGGCCAAGCCACTGAGCAGCTGCTGGGAGAACAAGAGTCTGGGTTCCTGTGTGGTTCTGGGAGATGTCTCAAATTGCCAGGACCTCATCCACTCAGCAGGTCCTATGGTGCACCTCTTCTTTCCACCTTTATGCCAGGTCCTTTCCAAGTCCTCAGCAGGCTCTTTCAAAGTCTTCAATAGCTCAGGTTCTTCCAGAATGACCGTGGTCCCAGGACAGAGCCATTAGTTCAAATATTATTAGTCAAGGTTCTCCAGAGAAACAGAACCAATAGAATATGAAGTCTTAGGACCAGGCAGGCCTATGGTATAACCCCAGTCCAAGCCTCAGGCCAGAGAGCCTCAGCAGGACAGCAGGTGTAAGGCAAAGAATCCAAAGGCCAAGGAACCTGGAGCCTGATGTCTGAGGGCTGCCACAAGGGAATATGCACCCCACGGACAAAGGAGGAGCCAGAGAGATTCCCCCTCCTTCTCTTCTTGTTCCATCCAGGTCCCTGCAGATTGGATCATGCCACCTACAATTGGGATAGGTCTCTCCTCTGAATTTGCTGACCTACCCACCAATATGCTCTGGAAATACCTTCATGGACACACCCAGAAGTGTGCTTTACCGATTCTCTAGGTATCCCTAGCGCAGTCAAGTTGATGTCTAAACTTAACTATCGGGGCCAGGGAGATGGCTCAGTAGAATAAGCGCTTGCCTGGCAAGCGCAGGGGCCTGAGTTCAATCCCCGGTTCTGCAAAAAAACAAAAAAAAACAAAAACAAAAACAAAAACAAAAAACAAGCTGGCCAAACTTCACAAGGTTCCAAGGACTGGTAGATAGTAGACTACATTAAATCTGTGGAAAACTGCTGCTGGACCTGAGGAGAAAAAGAGACCTAGGGAGAGAAGGTGCAAGGAGCAGAGACCTCAGCAACAGGGATGTTGGTGGGGGATAGGGATACTGGGCAAAGGGGAAGGGACCTGACCATCTGCGACATTTTTGGTTCTCTTGCCATGTTCCTGGCAGCGAACGAGCTTTAGCACCTCGAACAGAACAGACCCAGGACCTGCGCTCACAGAGCTTGCATGCCAGTGGAGGAGGCCAGAAAAGGAGATGGATGACAGAAAAATAGTGCAAAGCATGCCAAGCCAAGAAACCCCAAGAGGTGAGACGCGTGTGTGACATGAGAGGCAGCGGGGAGGCAGCCTCTAGGAGGAATAGATACTGGGGCTGTGAGATATGAAAAGCAAGAAGACCGGGCTGGGGAAAGATCTGGGCGGACGGTGAGACTTGAAGAACAGAAAGGCTACTGCAGGCCTAGACTTTGGCGGGTGCTGGGCAGAGTGGTGAAGGAGGAGCTAAGAGTTGGGTAGGGTCAGATCAGTCCCATAAGGGTCGGTGGATGGCCCACAGAAGCCTGTGGTCTAAGTCCATTCTGGAGGCTGTAACAAAACACCTGTAACAATTACATGCAAGGGTAATTTACACAGCAGAACTGTACCACTCCCAGTTCTAGTGGCTGGAGAGAAAGGCAGAGGGGTTGTCCGGTAGGAGCTGGTCTCTGCTGGACGGTGCCTTCTATGCATCCTCACATGGTAGAAGGGGGGAAGAAGCTCCTTTGAGCCTCTTTTATAAGGGCACTAATCCCATCCCTAGGGGTAGAGCGCCCATGACCTAATTACCTCCCAAGGGCCACCAATTAATACTACTGCATCGGCGATTAGGTTTGCACATGAGAATGGGGGCAGGACACATATTCAGACCACAGCATGTGTGATGCTTTGTTTTAAAAATTGTATTTATTTATTTATTTATGTATGTGGGGGGAGCAGCTCAGTCCACCAGGGGCAGGGCTGGCTGGCATGTGGTGCTGGGGGATTGAACTGCGGTCCCTGTGCTTTGCTAACCTTGTTCTAAGTAGGTGCTTTAGACCGCTGAGCCATCTCACCAGCCCTGCTGGTTTTGAACAAGATTTAGAACACGTGTAGTTGTTTTGTAGCGGCAGGTGTGAGAGCAGAAGCCAGTCAGGAGGGACAAGCTGATCTGTGACTAGCACAGCCCTGGACTCTCCCTCCAGAGCTGGGCTTTGAGATGCCTGATACGCAGCCACCCCCCAGGCCGATGGCGTGGGAGAACACTCTTTCTGCCAATAAGGCCAAGGCCAATAGCAAAGCTCAAGGGGGTTGCTGTGCCTCCCGTTAGGATCCCATGCCTCAGGGCTCACAGCCACTCCTCACAGAAATTCCAGTCAGGCCTCTTCAAGAATGGAAGTCAGGAGTCCAGGCGTGGTGGCACGTGCCTGTAATCCCAGCACCAGGAGGCTGAAAATGGGAGGATCACTACGAGTGCTGAGCTGCATGGTGAGACCCTGCATACACACACAAAAAGAATGGAAGTCAGGATCCTGGGTCTTCTCTAGGCCTGCAAGTGGTGGCCTGTGTCATCAGCAATAGTCACCCTTGCCTCCCGCCTGACAGGGAGCATGGACAGCACTTGGCTAGGCTGATAGCAGTAAAAGTTGGAGGAGAGAACAGGAAGGCAAAGGGAGGACTTGGGAGTGTTGTTTATGCAACAGGGTGGAAGTGGCACATCTGCCAGAACAAGAATCAGGGATGTGGTGAACTCCAGGCATGACGGTGTTGGTGGGTGGTAAGAGGAGACAGTCACATGAGCTGATCCTGAGGAGGCGTGCTCTATGAGGGAAACTTGAAGATAGCTGGAACCCCGAGGAAGCAGGGGGAGGAGGCAATGGTAGATGGGCCTGGGTGCTGGGCCTGAGCACAGGCGCCACAGCCTGACTTCCCACAGAGGGAGGAAGGCTGGGGTGGCAGGCGGTGGAATATCACCTGCTAATCCCTGGCCTGCTGAGGCCACAACTCTCCCTGATCCCCACACTGAGCCTGGGTACTGACCACAGCTAATCTCCATCCCTAAAGCCCCAAGGGCTCGCAGACACTGCAGGGTGCTCACCCCCGAGGTTTCAGGGAACGGAGAGCCCACCCAGTTCCTAGGTGCCCTAATGCAGGGCCTACAGTCCTTGCCTACCACAGACAGGAAGCCCAGAGACAGGCCGTGACTAGCTTAGGGTCACAGGGCCTGGATTAGGGGCAGCAGCCATCCCTGGCCTGCCCTGGCCTGGGCACCTCAAGGGAGCCCAGCTCCCTCTCTGACATTTCCCAAGATGCCTGGCTTGTGCTGAGGCCAGAGAGGAAGGGAGTACCCACAGAGAGCAGGCCTGGTGACAAGCCCTCCCCAGAGCCTGCAGTCCCCAGGTTGCCTAGGAGCAGTGTCCTCACAATCAGGCTGCAGCAGGCATTGTTTCTGCTGTCCTTTAGGCCCAGCCCACCTGCCTCCCATTCCTGCCCATCGAGGGGGCCACAAGAGCAGAAAGTCCTTGAGAGTCTGTGCACTCTTCCGCCCTGCAGAGGAGGGAGCCGCTGTAGGTGGGTCAGAAGCAGGAAGCGCTCTGTTTTTCTCAGAGCTCCTCTTCCTCCCCTCCTCCCTACCACTCCTTCCTGAGGCAGCTTCTCATTGTCATCATGCCCTCTCTCTGATCCTCCTCCTACCCATAGGGCTTCCACACCCATCACCTCCAACCCAGGGCTGGACAGAAAACAAGCCGAGCCAACCAATTCTTACTAACATATAAACAACTGAAAAGGGCTTCTGAGAACATCTTATTTTATTTTTTGTGGAACCAGGGATTGAACTCAGGACCTTACACTTGCCAGGCAAGCGCTTATTCTACTGAGCTATCTCCGCAGCCCTGAGAACATCTTTTTAAATGGAAGCAATGCTTTTCTAGTTCACCTCTGTCATATCTCTCCTTTAAAACACTTCTAAGTCTTCTCTGTAGAATTTTGAGTAAATGTCACGTCCTTAGCTAAGCCAAATCCAGAACTGGTTACCTAGAGCCATTCCGAGCTACATTTTGATTCTACTTACTACTACTTTTTCCTGTTCAAATTATTCACCTTGCCTGGACTCCTGCCTAGCAGGCACACACCCCCCAGTACTGCCGCCCTCCATCCCTTGGTGCAGCCTGTGTGTACCCGTGTGCGTGCACATTTGTGTCTTTTGCCAGGGCACCTGGGCTCCCGAGAAGTGAGCATACAGCAGGTGCTCAATAAATGCTTGACAGGGAGGGAAACAGGAGCTCAGGTGAAGGCTCTATTCCTCCAAGGAAGGGTATCTGACCGGCTTAGCTCCAAGTGAGGTCCTCTGTGCCTTCTGCTCCCTAGGTATGGCTCGCATCATTGACCTGATGCCCTGGGACGATGGCTCCACCCACGTGTACGCCTCCCCAGCCATCTTGCTTCCGATGGAGAGACAGCGCTACCAGCTGGCCGGCGTGAAGCAGCAGCTCTACCACCCAGCCCTGCCCACCCTGCGCCGCATGGACATGGACACCACCAAGGCCTGCCTCTCGGACGAGCACTGCCAGTCCACTACCTGCTGCTGCAAAGGTCTGGCTGCCTTACCTGCCACCAGAGCTGGTGCCCTGTGGGCCTTCAGAGGGAAGGGTGGAGAAGGAACGAGAGCTTGGAGGAGGAAGCCATGAATAACAGATGAAAGGGTGACAGGAGCTGGCCCAGCTCTGCTAATCCCTGCCTAGAAACCTCCAGTGAGATCCGAGCCTCTATGTCCTTATCAGTGGAAAGGGGGCAATGACAGGGCCTGACCCCAAGGCTGTTGTGAGACTAAAATCAGATGACAGGAAAAGCACCAAGAGCAGTGCCTGGCACACAATATTTCTCCATCAAGTGGGGTTGCTGGTGCTGCTAATGTTACTGCTCATTTTAAAGTTTTAACAAAATGAGGTTCATCTTAGCACAGTTCTGGAGGTGCAAGGTCATTGAGGGACCACATCTAGAGAGGGGGCGTCTTGCTGGTAGAGGCTGGAAGCAGAGCCAGGCATCTGTGGTGAAAGATTAGGGCCCAAGTCCATGTGCGCACCTATGGTTCCCACTGACAGAGAGAGCACAGCAGCGGTAGGCACTGGCCCCAGGAGGCATAATAATAATTACAACAAGAAAAACTCCTGCCCACCCACCTCTACATCTGGAACAGGAAAAGAACCTCCACACACCTTCCATAAATATAGCCTCGACACGTTGGTCTGAGGGTGAAGGGATTACTCAGCATGGATAGAGATGGTATTTAGGATTGAATGTCTACAGGATTTGTTTCCAGGTTAGAGAGGAGGGGAAGAAGAGGGTTCAGGGTGATACCGAGGTCCCTTATTGGATAGCAGGCAGGTAAGGATGTTGAAACACACCAGAGATCATCAGAGGTCCACCCAGACCCCTGTGGCCATGTACGCATGCATCCACCCATACACCTGCACGCACACATACGGGCGTGAGCGCACACACGCACACACACACACACGCCTCGCACGCACGCTAGCACACACTGGAGATGGTGCGGAATGACAGTGGAGGAGGAGTCCTGGTGTAGTGGCGGTGGGCACCCACAGCTACCCCTGCTAGACTGGGGCTTAGGCTGACTGCACTGTGTGCAGGGTGGGCAAGGTATCAGTGCTTCCCATTGCCTGCTCCCGAGGGAATCCAGAAGTCTTGATTTTTAGGGAATGCTCTGTCTTTGTATGTATTCAGTTGTAAGTGTATATTTTCCTTCTTCAGTCTTGATCTGTAGGAGATTTAAAAATTAGGGAAATTTGCTTTTCATCTATAAGATCAGTAAAAAAAAAAATTCCATTTGTCTTTTGACTTTTTTATGTTTTTGCTATGCCTAAGTTTATTTCTTTGTTAGTTTTATTTTGTTTGCTTGCTTTTTAGTACTGGGGATTAAATCTAGGGCCTTTGCACTAAGATAGAGCCCCAGCCATTTTAAAATTTTTATTTTGATGCAGAGTTTTGCTAAGTTGCTAAGCTTCCCAGGCTGAGCTTGAACTTGAGATCCTCCCACCTCAGCCTCCTAGAAGCCTAGGAGTATAAGCATGCACTTTTGCACCCAGCTTGATGTTTTCTTTAAGCTTCTAACTTTTTTTAGTTAGAATCAGTATCACCTCCTCCCATTCCAAGTTTATAGAGAAATGTGTCCATATTTCTAGTGCTTCTTAGATGTTTTAGTCGTTTTCTTATCACTGTGACAAATATCTGACACCCACAATTTAAAGAAGGAGAGGCTTATTTTATTTTATTTGTGGTACCAGAGATTGAACTCAGGACCTTGCACTTGCCAGGCAAGTGCTTATTCTACTGAGCCATCTCCCTGGCCCTGAGAGGTTTATTTTGGCGCACAGTTTTTAGAGGATTAATTCTACAGACAGCTGTCTCCAAGGTAGGGATGGCTGGTGGAAAGGTGTGGTGGAGGACAGCCACACACATTATGGTGACCAAGAAGCAGAGAGAGATGGGAAGAGCTGGGGAGGAATAGACATACCCTTTCTAGTCACATGAGGGACCCATCTCTTCCTACCTCCTAATTTCACATTTGGCTGTAGACTCCCTTGACCCAGTTACCTTCCAGAAACCCCACCTCTGAGCACATAAGAGTTTGGGGTGGTGGTTATTCTGGATCAAAACCATAACATTTGGCATCATGTCTTTATACTGAAATCTTGGTCTACATGGAGAAAGTGAAATACACATACTATTTTATCTTAATCTTCAAAAGCCAACCAACTTGTTTTGTTTTGTTTTTGTAGAACTGAGGATTAAGCCCAGGGTCTTCCCACTGAGCCACATTTCCAGACCCTTTTTCATTTTTCATTTTGAGACAGAGTCTTGCTAAATCACCGAGTTCTCCTGCCTTACCCTCCCAAAATGCTGGTATCACAGGCATGCACCATCACATCCAGTTTAAAAGCCATCCCCCACACAAAATTTTTAATTGTAAAGCCCACTCTGAGCCAAACCTATCCTCGGGTTATAACTCCTGATGGGAGGTCATCTCTTTTTCTCCCTTTATCTTTTTCAACAGATGAGTTTGACAATGCCTACTTCACACTCTTGGGAGTCCCCAACAAACCCCTGCAGTGCTTGGTGAGTGTCCTTTGCCCTTGGTCCTGGGCTTGCTCAAGGGTTCTAGCTCACATCCAGCCCAAACAACCTACTCCCTGTGTTGTCCTCAGCTGCCTAGGGACCCCACCACCACCACCACTCAGTCTGAGTCACTCTGTTTCCAACATCCCCACAGTCAGATGAACCAAATGTCTGCTGGGTGGAGGGGTGTTGTCTGGGGAGGCCTAGGCTGCTGCATCTGCCACTGTCGTCCTTATCCCCATCACCTTGTCAGGACATCACAGCCACCGGCCAGAAGCTCCACCGCAGGTACCGCGAGGGCAAGCTGGCGCCCATCGCGCCAGGCATCAACCGGATCGACTGGCCCTGCTTCACGCGTGCCATCGAGGACTGGTCCCGCTTTGTGTCCTCGGCTGGGGAGTTCAAGTTGCCTTGCCGGGGGAAGAAAGGTCAGTCTACCAGTTGCGGAGGCTACCCTGGGGTTGGGGAATTGCTATGGGCTGGGGCAGGAATCACTGGAACAAGGGTGGGGGAGCTGAGAGCAGCTGGGGCATCTACAGCAGGGCAGATGAGATGGGCTGAGGGGCCTGAGGTTGAAGTGGTCTTCAGGTCCCGGCAGATCCACTCTGAGCCAACTGAGAAGCTGGGGTCAACAAAGGAGCTGGGGCTTTCAGGGGACACAGTGGGGGAGTGGCTGGTTCTGGGGGCGGCCCTTAGTCGTGGGTGGGCGTGGCGTGGTAGTAGTGGGTGGAGCTTATCCATGAGAGGCGGGGCTTGCTCAAGGGCACCCAAGGTAGGCTCTCCCCGCAGTCGAGAGTTTCAGCGGCTATGCAGTGCGGTACCTGAAGCCAGATGTGACCCAGAACTGGCGGGTAGGGAAAGATGCGCGCTGACCCATCCCCGGGAGTCCTGGTGGGGAGCGGCTAAAGCGGGGGACATAGGACTGGAGGGCTGGGTCTCCTAGGCCCCAGGCTCAAAATCTCCAGTAGGGGGCGCTGTGGGGCGCGAGTGGGAGCTCGCGGTCCCCAGCTTAGCGACCCCCATCCCTGTGGCCTGCACCAGTATTGCCTCAATCAGAACCCCAGCCTCGACCGCTATGGACAGAAGCCCCTGCCTTTCGACTCTCTGTAAGTGACGCCCTCCCGGGACCCTACACTGGGAGGATGGGGAGGACGGGTCGTCTGGTCCGCTTTCCTAGTGCATGTCTAATGGTCCTTGGAAGTGTGAGGCCTGGAAAATACTGACTGGCTCCAGTACACCCCAAGAGAACTGCAATTTCAAAATGAACAAAGGTTTAACTCTTACCAAATGGACAAGCTGTCACTCAGTTCCTGGCAGTTTTCCCCTTTCACGGTGTAGGTGTTAAGTAGGGCGCAGGGTAATCCCTTTGGCAGGACTCTCCCCTTCTCGGGCTCACCCACCTCTGCACTTCCCTCCTCAGGAATGCTTTCCGGCGCTTCGGCTCCCACTACAGGTAAGGGAGAGTCCGCCCCTTCCCGCCCCCGCCCTACCGCGGGCCCAGAGAGGAGGGCTTCACTCCTGAGAGGTAGGGGAGGGGGCACCAGCGTCTTTGCAGCACAGTTCAGGTGTGTGAAGTGGGCGTGGGAGGGGTGCCTCTCCCCACCAGGGCAGGTCCAAAGGAGGTTTGCAGGAGGGGGCCCTTAACTGGGAGGATTTTAAAGTACTTGTTAGAAATATAAAGATGCCCAGTGGCATCTTTGTAATTCCAGCACTCTGGGTAGCCCAGGCAGAAGAGTGGAAGTTAGAGTCCAGCCTTGGGCAATTCAGTAACTTAGTAAGGCCCCATCTCAAAATAAAAAATAAGGGGGTAAGAATACAGCTCAGTGTGAAAGCCTTGAGTTTAGCCCTGTGTGTGTGTGTGAGAGAGAGAGAGAGAGAGAGAGAGAGAGAGAGAGAGAGAGAGAGAAAGGCAAAGTAAAAGGGCAGAGTAGAAATTGGAAGGCACAAAGTTCTAACCAGAAAGTACTATCAGAGTTTTGAGCATTTCAGATTATAAACTGCCTAATGTGCTAATAAATAATGTTCCTGGCAGATTAGAATTCAGAAATTTGTAGAAACAGCAATATGACTATTTGACTGCTTTTGGACTTCATCCAGCTTAAATAATGAGAACACATATATTATTCAACTTATCCAAATCAATAAATCAGAAGAATAACTACCTTTAAGCCTTAAATGGTTCCATTTTTACAATTCTGTGCAGAGAGAGGGAAATTTCAGTTTTGAGAAAATTATGTGCAAATTACTATTTTTGTATGACTAACTGGAGACTGTAGAGCTGTAATAGAGCTGAAATTCTTTTTATGATATACAACTATAAATGTGGCATCAGTTTAATTAATGGAGGCCCACGCAGTATATGCCGTGTGACTTCACTTCAACTCAAGAGAAATATACATGAACGTCCACCTGAAATTTAATACACTCTCCAGTTTAAGGGATTTAAACATGGCAATTAGTTTGGGCTTCTGACATGAGCAGGTGAACAGGCCAGGTTACCTTGCTGAAGAGACCTTACATTGACTTTTTATAAGATCAGAAGTAAAGCCATGCTGTTATGTTGAGCTGTAAGGGATTCAGGTCAACAATTTCTGACACTGCCAGTCAAGTGGAAGACCCAATGCTATTATGGACTACTGGACTCTTTTAGAATATTTTGCTGAGTTTACACACCTATAATATTCAAATGACGGAACTAAATGAAAAAGGGGATGCAAATGAATGTCCATTTTGTATCTGTGTATTCAAAGTGGTTAGGACAGATTTATAATTACATTCTCTTAATGAATAGAGGGATTTGTTGCAATAGTGTTTGTAAATAGGATATCATGTCTGTGTCTTGTACAGCAAATAACCACTAGGAAGAGGGTATACAATGTGTTAATTATTGAAACTGTCCTACTAATTTGATTTGAAACTGTCTCATTGCTATTTATCTCTCAATAAAATGATGGAAAAAAATCAGTGCAGCTACTTATTGACAGCTACACCCATCATATTCAATTCAAATATGAAGTTGAAAGACGCAGCACAGGGACACTTGAGCGGCAGAGGCTGAAGATGGAAGCGTTTCTGCCCTACTAGCAGAATGGCTGTTGGCAGGAGACTCACTGTGGAAGCTCTAATTCAGCAGGCTGCTCGCTGCTCCCGTCTTGGGACTTGGTCAGGCTTCTGGCTCCCCCAGTGGGTGCTCCTGTCAGGAAAGTGCGCCTTGCACCACATGCTGAGCAGTTCCGCCCTCCCTCTGCCTCCCTCTTCATCCCCTCCTCCACCCAACACCTCAGCCACTTTCCAAAAGTGCATCTCCTGAGCCTGAACCCAAGTGGTGGCACTCCCATCGGTTGCTACAGAGATGATTTTACCTAAGAAAGGAATCTCTGAAGTTGAAAGGCAGCATACGTACCTGCAAACTATTTCAGTTGCAGAAATACAAAATAGTTCAGTTCAGTCTGATTTCATTTCTGTTGCAAAATATTGACTTTACGTGCAAAATATTGACTTTATGCCAGGAGCTGACAAAATGAACCAAATTAAATGGTAAAGGTGGAAAGCGCAGAAAGCATGGCAAGCTCTTCCCTCAGTGATCCACGTCTCTGCTGTTCAGCTACTCGCCAAAGTCCTGCCCAGGCTCACACTTCTGTTCAAAGGGAAATGACTTTGTCACAAAATACTACTGTGCAAATTCACAGAATGTTCTCTTTTTCCTGAATTATAGCACTATTTTCCTTAATAATTTAATAATAAATATCAAGTAAGATACTCTCTAAAGGCATAATTTATCACAGAATATATCTGGCCATATCAATTGCCAAAAGACTAAATTACATGATTTTAAAGTGACTTTGTTTTTTCAACCACACACAGAGCATAGTAGTTGTGCTAGTTTACTTTAAAATACATACTCAACATGTCTTTTATTTTTTAATTTTTTTATTTTATTTATTTATTTATTTTTTTTGGTGGA